GGGAATTGGGAGTTTTGGGAAGTGAAGAGAGCCTTTCTCATTTCTATTTATTTATTTTATTTTTTAATATTATTTAATTGTAGACACAATATCTTTATTTTATTTTTTTATGTGTTACTGAGGATAGAACCCAGTGTTCACATATGCCAGGCAAGTGCTCTACCACTGAGAGCAACTCTATTTTTTTTATTTTTGTGTCAAAATGAATTAATAGATTTTTAGTATGTCTGATGGTTATCAGTCATCTGCATTAATGTTTTTTTCATCCTCAAATTATTCCACCTTTGGCTAATGAGGACCCCTTTGTGTTGGTTCCTGATGTTAGGTTCTTCCTTACTAACAAACTAGTTCTAAGGTGCATTGTTCAATGACAAAATAATGAAATTGTCTATAATATATGTTAAGATTTTGATAAAACAAATACCAAGCAGGCAAATAAACCATATTCATCACTCAAAAAGACTAATGAAGTATGATAAATTGTTCAGTGTTTTCTGGGAAACACAATTACAGTAAAATATTATTTATTATTTTATTTACTTGTTAATACTCTTCTGCACTCTAGATTCCTTCACAATGTGTTAATTTAATAATTAAGTTAAATTTTTATAAGCTCAACAGAAGATTTTAAAGTTCTTTTCATTTAGCAAATTCCTTTGGCATATTTAAAATAAGGTTCAGATTATTCAGAAATTACTTAGACACATTTTTCACAGTTGTTAATAATTGTACAATTTGAGCTATTCCTCATGTTCTCAAAGAACTTGTAAAGACAGAGAAAATATAATAAAACCAATCTTTAATAATATCCATAGAATTATAATAGTAAATTGTTTCTCCTCATCTGTCTTTAGAGGCCTTGGGAATTTATTTTCCTTAATAACAATGTATAAACTACTCCACAGGTGTATTTCTTACAATAATTTAGACAGACCCCAAATTCTTGAGATTCCTGGATCTGGGAGTTTTCCTTCTACCCACTCTTAACTCTGTGTGTTGATAGATTCTAAGAAAGTTAACAAGAACAACAAAATAACCTATTTCTGAATATCAATTGAAGTCAAAATGTAAATTAGACTCCTTTGCCATAGAAAGTGATCTTCAGGTATGGCCTTGATGGGGTCACTTTTACCCAAGTTTCACTAGGGACCATTCATGACCCGTCTAAGTGGGCATTGAAATAGTTGACACCTAAGGGAAATTATTCCATATTTACAAATGAGTCTCACTTTGCAAAACATGTAAAGTGGTCCTGCTTCTTTTTAATAAAGTTATACTTCCCATGAATGATAAGAGAAAGCAATGTTGAAGCTCAACTATATAAGGGCCATGTGGAAAGTGGGTGTTAAATTCTTCCCTCTCCAGTAGACCAATAGTCTTCATATTATCTTCCTAAAGAGCCTTGGAGCAAAGCTTCCCTCATGACATAACCAGATGGAGAGTTCTTACCTACCTCAGGCATAGAAATGTGATACATTCTATCCTTTTTGGATGGATCCTTCAGGATTTCTGCCATTTTCTTCCCAGAAATAGTTCCATCATTTCTATCATAATAGAAATTTTTACATTATCATATAAAAACTAGAATTATAAATATTATGCTTGCAAATCTGTAGATTCCACAGGCCAAGTGTATGTTAGGGTTGTAACAGGAAACAGAAAGCACACCCAGAGAGTTGAAGTGAAACAGGTTTAATAACTCTATCTCTCTAATACATGTAGTTCAACACCTGGTGAGATTAGACCTGAACAACCAAGCAGTATCAGCTTGGTTTTCCCATTCTTAGAATCTTGATGCAAATGTGAACTGAGAAAATTTGCATCAAATTTTTAAAATGAGTAGTATGTTCTGAATTATTGGTGAGCACCCACCTCTGCGGTGAATTATGAGAGCTAGGGAGGGAGACCAGGGAAGGAGCCCTGAAAGAGACTTATTCTCAAGATAACCACTTCTTTGGTATTGCACAGAGTAAAACCCCTCAGGTGACACAGGTAACCAGATGATTATGGCACATGAACCTCTCTGCCTATGCTGGGGTCTTATTTTTATGTAAAGTGTGTCTTCTGTAATAGGAAACTTAATGAACTTAATGGCTATGCCCTTTCTGAACAAGATTCTTTTGATAGTGTTGATCCCGTTAAACAACACAGGCAGACATCCCAAGTTGCTGTGAGAACTCATCGATTTTCTTGGTTAATAGACTTACCAGTTTTCTAAGAACTGCACATGGGTAGTGATATATACCAACTCTTCTTGGCTTTTTATGAGATCCATCAGGATGGAGACTGGGTACAATACCTGTGGGCTGTTTGGGTACTAGAACTTGATACATATTTCTTCAGTCAACAAAAGACCATTTCATACATTACTAATGTTTTCCCTCAATATGAAGCACAATAGTAGAGAGTTAAAAAATGTTCATGTAGTCCCAGCAGGTGGCTGAAACAGGTGGATCACACATTCAAAGGCAGCCTTAGAAATTTAGGAAGGCCCTAAGCCACTTAGCAAGACCCTGTCTCAAAATAAAAAGGGCTTGTGGCTCAGTGGTTAAATGCCCATAGATTCAATTCCCGGTACCAAAAAAAAAAAAAAAAAAAGGTTTTTGTAGTGATTCAAGTGCTTTAAGAAATACCCATAGTTCAAGCTTTATTTAGGTTTTTATGTTCTCATTCCCTGCCATGGAGATACAGGCTGTAAACACCCATGACAGGTGAGGCACACACTTCAGGTGAAAAATGGCTGCTGCTCTCCTCATACTGCCACCACTCTAACTAATTTCAATTCCCAATTTTTAACCAGATCCCAGCACTTAATTCTTGAAATTACTATACTGAAAACATGACATGTACATACTCTTTCTTATTTAACTCCAGAAAAATGTCAATGGAACCAAACAAAATACATTGCTTTCTCTTTATTGAAAGCATTACTCTAATAGCATTTTCAGTAATGTTTCTCAGAACTGGAAATCGTTTAATATTGTCCCATTAAATCTGAGGATTTTCAAGAAAAATGGCTTTTAAGGTTAGACATTCTGAATCACAGATTTTTATTTATTTGGGCCCTCTCTCTTTCAAAGTAAGTAATTTACGGAACTGACTCATAAGGGCATAATTTTAGAGGCAATTGGTAATTTTAAATGACTAGACGTCAGTCATTTGAATTTATCTGCTTTAGGGTAGGAATCCAGGGAGTCTCTGTGAAGTGGTGTGCAGACCTGTTGAGCCTTGTAAGATTGCTGAGTCTGGCTGAGTAATTAGCAACTTTGCACAGTTAGAGAGGAGCTCCGTCTTTGGGTTGAAGCAGTGGACATGCAAATCTAAAGGAAAGGCTGGGACAGTAAGTGATGAAATAGCTGAGCAGGAGCAGCCCAGAGGGCCTCATCACTCCATGCACATGGCTGTTTCTTTGGGGTCCAGGAAGGACATAGCATGTTTAAAGGAGCAGCAAAGGCAGGAGGCACGAGCAATGTGCCAAACACATTTGCTTCCAGAAACAGTCCAGGGAGGTCCTATGAATATTAATGTGCCTAAAAGTTTTAAAAAAAAATGGAGAAAAATAAATCATTTGACTAGTGCCAAGTTCACTTTGTTCCAGGAACTGGGATATTTCATAATAAAAAATGAAATAGAAGCCAAAAATGAAGCAATGGCAATTCCTATTCAGATGGAGTCAAGGCTTAATTCAGGCAATGAGTATGTTTTATTCAGGCCTAGTTCTGTTTCTGTCATATTCAGGCCTAGTTCTGTTTCTGTCATTATTCCAGGTATTGGGTCTGAAGATAGTCTTTGATAGATGGCAAATTATTTTGGTTCTCTTACTCTTCATAAAAATTTAATAGTGCTAAAAATGATCAGTGTTACATATCTTTATTCATTCTTTTGTCTAATTAGTTACCATAGTAGCTTGGGCATCAAAATATTTCCATATAATAATTATTTAGTAATGAAAATCTCCCAGACTGACTGACCAGTTTGAGTAGGTAAACTTTTAAGTCATTCTTCTTTGGCTTTAAATTCTAATATGTTCCTCCTCATCAACTAAAAGTGAATTAACAAGCTATCATAAATACTTAAATAAATATGGAAAGGGTTTATAGGAGTCAGCAGTATGAATTTCCTGTTTGCCTAATAAACATCTATACAGGTCACTTCATATCACACATACTAACTGAAAATAATGAGCCTGGTAATAAAAATCACTCACTTGAAAGTCAAGGGAATGTTTCTAAGTTGAATATAATTTTCAATTTACCAGTTTATTCCAGACAGCAATGTATGTGGTTGATATATTTTTGGCAGGGAGTATGTGATAAAACAGGCCCACTTCTTTCTGCTTCCCTGAACTTCTAAAGGCAGCAGTCTTACATATCAAACTCTATTAGCCAATTGGTGAACCAAGTGATCAAGCACTAGGTATGGTCAAAAATATTGGAGGAACTTTATTTTTCCTAACACAAGCAACTCTAAAACAGTGACCTTGAGTTGTCGTGATGAACTTTTCATTACTAATCCCATCAAAAGTCTGTGGACAGATAGGACCTAAAATTACACTACATAAGAATATTCAAACAGACATATAGTTAGGTTTTCACAATGCTTTACAGAAATATTTGTGATCAAGAAACTTATTAAGATTTGCCTGTACAGCAGAATAGAATAGACAATATGATTGATGTATGTACATTCCATGTATGTATTATATATCAAAATGCATTCTACTGTCATGTATGACTAAAAAGTAAATAAATAAAAAATTTTAAAAAAGATTTGCCTGTAAATTTTACCTTAAAATGCCATTTTTTTTGTTATGTGCATGACAAAGAAAAATGAAGTCACCCAAGGAGTATCATCCACCTCAGTTCTAAGTGGACATTCTAAGCAGAGTTCATGTGACTGCGCGGGGGTGTGCATGTGTGTGCCTGGCACCCTGCATGGCTTCTCGCTGCCTTCATTGATTTCCTGCCCTCATTAAAACCTTATCGATCCCTGTTCTCTAGATGACACAGGCTGTCCTAGTAGCCAGTCAGTATCACCAGTGAAGACACCCTCAGATACTGGGAATAGCCCCATTGGCTTTTGCCCTGGAAGTGATGAAGACTTTACCAGAAAGAAGTGCACCATTGGAATGGTTGTTGAGGGAAGCATCCAGTCAGCCCGATATAAGAAGGAATCCAAGTCAGGCTTTGTAAAGCCAGGTAAGTGCACCGACTCTTCATATTTTACCTGGGTAATATAACTGAAGCAGTTTTTCCATTTGAAACTATATGTGTGTGTGTGTGTGTACGCACATACAGATGATTTTATGGGGCAAGGTTTTGTCCTGTGTCCCTTTCTGTTGGTTGTTAGTGTCTGTCTGCTTTTGAGCTTCCTGAATAATTGCTGTGCACAGCATATTATAATGGATTATTCTTCCTCTTGCTTTTGGTCAACCAAAGAGAATGTCCTTTTATCTCAAAGAAAAACTTAAACTGCATGAAAAATACAGTTGCTAGTTGTCCTTTGCTTTGTAATACTATAAAAAGAAAAGCATAATACACAATTGGGGAGGTGTGATAGCATATAAAAGATAAAAAGGAGTATGATGAAGTATAAGAGGTACTTTAGTTTTTAAGAAAGAAACAATGAACAAAAGAATGTTGTGTAATGATAGCCAAGAAATGAAAATATTATCTTGTGTTCTCAAGGAACAACATGGCTGCTGTACTTTTGCCAGCATCCCAGCTCAACTGGCTTTTTTAAAAATTGAGATATAATCCAGATATCATAAAATTCACCTACTTCAAGTATAAAACTTAGTGGGCTTTAGTCCATTAAAACCATTGTACAACATTACCATTATCAAACTCCAGAACTTTTCTTCTACCCCCCAAATGAAACCCCCTGCCTATTAGCAGTCACTCTTTATTCTCACCCCCTACTCCAGCCTGTCCCTGGCAACCACTAATTTTCTCTGTCTTGATGGATTTGACTGTTCTGAACATCTCACAAAAATGGAATCATACATTGTATGGCTTTTTGTGTTCGGCTTCTTTCACTTGTAATGATTTCAAAGTTAGCTAGTGTAGCATGTATCAGTGCTTGTTTATCTTCATGTTTGAACAGTATTCTGTTGTATGGGTAGTCCACATTTGGAAATGGACTTTTTATAAAACAATTTTAGGTTTATAGAAAAATTGAGAGTCTGCCTGTACCCGCTCACTACTAGTACTTCCTGCTTTCCCTGTTTAAACATCTTGCTTTAATGTGATGGTGTACCACACTTTGTTTATTCATTCTTGATTTGATGGACATTGGGGTTGTTTCTGCCGTTAGGCTATTAAGATTAATGGTGCTGTGAATTTTGGTGTAGAAGCTTTTGTATGAATTTTTTTTTAGTTCTCTTGTGCATATTCTTAAGTATGAGATTCCTGGATCATATGGTAACTATATGTGTAATTTTTCAAGGAACTACCAGACTGTTTTCCAAAATGACTAAAACATTTCCCTTCCTACCAGCAACGCATGAGAGTTCCAGTTTCTAAATATTCTTCTTAATACTTGTTACTATCTTTTTTATTATAAACTTTGTGTTAGTCTATTTTGTGTTGCTATAACAGAATACCTAAGACTATGTAATATAGAAGGAAAAACAAATTTATTTCTTTCAGTTTTGAACAGTAGGAATCAAGGTCAAGGGGCTCAAATCTGTGATGGCCCTCCCATCATAATGTAGAGGAGGGCATCCCTTGGCAAGGAAGCGAGTGTGCCAGCCCAAGTCTTTCTTCTTATAGAGCCATTAATCCCATCATGGGACTATGGGTCTATGATACGGAGTGGGGGGATGCCCATATGCAAAAAATATTATGTACTAACTTGAGAGGTTTATTTATTAAGATTTTTGAACCTAGTTTTAATGCTTCTTGCCCAAAGGCAGAGCCTAAAGCAAACCTTTTATCAACTGTTTCTGATTTAATTGCTCATAGGCATAAATACTGCCTAAGCAGTTTTTACCTGGTAAACTTTTTATTTACTTGTACAAGGTAAAGGGATCCATTAAGTTTCTTAGTTGCCTAAAATTCTTCACATCCTCATTGCTATAGCTTTGGAATAGGACCCAATTCTGTACAAGTAAATTCTTTGTATTTGAGAAAAATCTGCACAGTGACCTATACTTCTTTGAACTTTGGGCCTGTCAATCTAATAAATATGAAGAGAGGAAATCCTGGAAGTGAGGCCCCTGGATGACTCTGCATTTCTAACATGTAGAGGCATAATCTATTACAGCACAAGAAGATAATGCTGCAGGTAAAAACAGCCTTCTCCCAGCCCTGAGCTCTCCCCTCCCCTCAGTCAAGACTGACCTCCAGCTCTCCATGCATGCTCCACTTTTTAAAAATAAACCGACTCATTAAAACCAATACTAATTTATTAAAATTAGCAAGCAATTAGTGGCTCTTATACATGTGCTCAGGGACCCTTTAACATTAAGTAACCAAAGCCCATTTAATTTTAGGTCCACTTTTCTAGATTCTGGAACACTGTAGTTCACCTCAGAAAAGAGTTATTGAAATGCCCCTGAGGTCAGTAAGACAGCGAATAATGATCACTGGGTCTGTTATGCATAAAGAGAAGGAAAATATGTCACAGGACGCTAGGAAGGTTTGGAAAGGGGAACTGAGCAATGAGCAAGACTGCGCCTTGCCAACAGGGCCCTGTGGTGCACACAGCAGTGAACCCTTCCTGCCAGGCAGGAACTCCTTCTGGAAACTTCTTACAGGCAGTGAGCCTTCTGTCATTTTGGCTTCTATCACTTAATACCTATGCAGATTTCATTAAAAATTGCCAACAAGGAGCAAAGAAAAACATTCCTACAGTCCAGTTGGGTGATGGCTTTGTGTTTTCCTGTTTTCCTTTTCTCCTTAATTCAGCAACACATTCAGGGCAGAATCTCCAGAGCCTAATTTCGTGTCAATATAAAGCAGGTGTCCAATAAAAACTTACTGGGAAACACAGTGTGTACTTTGTGCAAGGGATTAGGTTGTTTTTTTTGTTGTTGTTGCTGTTTTTTTTTTTTTTTTTTGCCTATTTACAGCCAATAATTTTTTAGAAGCTCAAACGGAAAAAAAATGTAATTGAAAACAGATCAGGTAACTGAAAACAGGCCCTTGACTTGAATTATACAATCAGAAAGCCATCATCTCTGATTTTTATTTATAGTTGAATTTTTAATGTTGTTATCAGTGCATTATAGTTATACATAGTAATGGAGTGCATTGTGACGTATTCGTGTACGTATGGAATATAATTTGCTCCATTTCAGCCTCCAGTGCTTCTTCTTTCCCTTCCTTCTCCCCCACCCCCAACTGTTCCCCTTCCTCCTCTCTACTGGCTCCTTCTATTTATTTAAATTGGTGCTTCATAGATGTGCCTAAAGGTGGAATTCACTGTAGTGTATGTACACACACACACACACACACACACACACACACACACACCATAATTTGGTCAACTTTATTCCACAATTTCTCCTTTTTAAGGAATTAGATTGAATGTGAGAGGTACTTGGGGAAGAGGGGGCAGGAATGACCTTGTCATCATCTTGCCTTTAGGAAGCTTGTAATTTAAAGAAGAATACTGTAAAATAAACCCTGAGGAATCCTACAGATTAACAGAAAAGGAAGGAAGGCTTTGGGGGGGGGGGTACTTTTTGAGGAGTCCTGGATGGTGACATTCCTTCCCCTGGGGTGCTCCGCTAATATCAGCTTGTAGTCAGTTTCCTGATGAAACTTTTTAACCAGAAATGAAAGTCCTAATTGGATTACTGCTCTAGCACATGAAGTGACAATACTGAGCCAACTTTCTTGCTTGATTTATTACTTACAGAGTATCTTAACCCAGGAAAGAAAAGAATCCACTGTCATTGTTATACAAATAGAAGCACTAAATTCTTTGTGCTCAAAAGACTAGTTGGAAGGGTGGAGGAACAATTACACAATTTAAACAAACAATTTAAAAAATGTGAAAGTCAAAACACCACTGGAGGTGATTAAGGAGATCAGGAAAGAGCAAATGGTTAGGGTCACTATAATTTAACTGAAATCCACTTTCAGAAACTGAAATGTTGAAATCTGCATTTGAAAGATGTCACAGTATCTCCTTAGCATTCAAACAAAGTTAGTATTCCCTTGTTATCAGACACCACCCAGGCTATTGAAATTGGAGACCTGGCCAAGCTGAATCATAATAACCTCACAACAATAGCCAGGGATTGGTTACTTGAAAAAAGGTTTCCCACATTGAGAGGCATTTGCTAGAAAACTCAGAAGGCACCAACTAGGTTAGTGATTAATCGGCACTGGGGTCCCTTGATAGAGCCTCTTTCACACACAGCCCACAGATGTTTCTGTTCTTATCAAAAGCATTATTTCCACTTCAAAGTTAGTTGTGTGTAATAAAACAACAGCTTATTCTTGTAATAATGTGAGCTACCTAGAATAGTTCAAGGAGAATTGAGCGCCTAGGCTTCCACAGTTGTTCCCCAGGTTGCCCAACCTGTTCCGCCTGCAGGGAAGGGTCTGCGCTGGAGGAGAGGGGGCCAGACTGTAGCTGTACACACTAGGTCCACATCTTCATATCTCCACCTTATTACTGTGTGATCTTTAGCTGCTTGTGTGTGTGTGTGTGTGTGTGCGTGTGTGTGTGTGTGTGTGTGTGTGTGTGTTTGAAACTTTGTGCTCTGCATCTGTAAACTGGATTGTTGAAAAGACTTTGAAAGAGATTAATTCCTCACTATATGGCAGCGAGGGCCATTTGTAGTTCTTAATAAAGATGTAACAAATTCCATGCACCTTATTTACATAAAAACTCCTAAAACCCTCATCCAGGACTTAAGTTTATTTGAAATAAAATTCTAGCATGTCATGTTAGCCCAGCTCACATAAAATGAGAGGACTACTTGATAAAGGAGGACACAATGACCCAAGTGCAAATTGACAGCTGAAGGCTTGACAGTGCACCCAGAGATGGGAAAGTAGGAAAGAGCAAATGAAAGACCACTAAGAAGCCTAGTGGCCTTTTCACTGGTATAGACCATTACCAGCTTCAAATTCTTGGTAGCACTTAGTTCAGTATTAATATAAAAGCAGACAGAATCATTGTGACAGTGGAATTGCAAGAAAATGCTGTCTATGAAAGCAGAAAAAGTCTTACACATTTA